TGAAGGACGTGATAGAGAAAAAGGAAGGGAGACACTGAGCTAGAGTTGTTCAGAAAAGGACAAAAACCCATGGTGGCAGAAACTTTCAAAACACGCCAAAAATACACAGACGTATGTGGGGTGTATCTGCGCCAAGGAGATTAGAAATGCTCTAAGGTCATTGGTCCGCACACGCTCTCTCTCTGAATCACAGGCGGAGATAAGACATAATTAATTAGAGTTGTGCGGGGGGAAAGGCTTACGTGTGAAGGAGAAGAGAGGAATATTATATAGAGAGAATATAGTTTGAGAAGGGGATTGGGGGCGGGGAAAGGAAACGGAGAATAGCTGAGGAGGGGAAGGGGAGCAGGGGAGCAGGGATTATCAAGGGATACAATTTTCCATTTTCCATTTTCTTTTGGGAAAATCAACAATTTCACGCAGAATAATATGGGAAGGGTAGGAGGGGCTCTCTTGGTCTAGATCTAGAGGTTACGGTGTTCGGCTCTCATTCAATAGGTCCCGGGTTCAAAACCTGACAGCGACAGAAAATTTTCTTCTCTAAAATTTTCTCCTTTCAAATCCGTTCCTGCTCTCTAACCATGTACCGTCGTCTGCTTTGGTCTCCACTTGCTGCCCCCGTCCCTCACCTCCTTTGCCCCTTCCACTGGGTTACTGACTCTTTCTGCTACCTTTCTTCTAATACTCCTTGGCTCCTTCTTACTGCTGATCTTAGGAGAGGTAAGATCTAACACCTAGCCTTCTCGGATAAAGGTGAAAAATCTCATAGGTCTCGTGTGCAAGTTACGCACGTTAAAGGTCCCTTGGTGGTCCTAAAATTGATAAGTGTAGGATTCGGTCACCATCCAGGCAAAATTCAAAATTAATTCCTATCAAACTAAAATGTGTCCCACACGCTCATTATGACACTTAACAAAAAGCATAATATCTTTGATAATTTTGAAAATCTACGTTAACGACAGCGAATGGATATTGTTTAATTTGACTATAATTTGTGGGTTGAGTGGTTTTATCACTTGGTCAGGAGATTACGCCACAGAACTTGTTGATCGTTTCACGTGATTTCTGATCACGTGTATTGAGGAATGCGTTGAAAGCACCCCCTCCCTCCCTCTCTCTCTCTCTCTCTCTCTCTCTCTCTCTCTCTCTCTCTCTCTCTCTCTCTCTCTCTCTTTCCCACCCTGCCTTTTCCCTTTGTAAATGAAAACCGCGCAAAACGATAACGAAATGACGAAACTGCCAAGAAAAAAAAAACGACCACAAAACAAAACAGAACAGAACAAAACAAAAACAAACACAGAAAAGGCTACAAGAATCTAAAAGGTTGATAAGGGGGATAAATGAAATTCACGGAGGCCCCAGCTAAGAGGAGTGGCCTATACTATAAGACATTATGTATTTACTTTTCTCATTCAAAAACGCTTTCTTCAGGGATTGACTTTGCACTTTGCCCCGCTGGGTGATATCAAAACAAGTGTGAGAAAAGAGCGTTGAATGAGTAAGTTTAAAAAAATTCTAGATCTATGTGCACACACATGGTTACCCCCTTTTAAACTATAGTGTACATCTATGTGCACATATCATTGGCATGTTCGCCATATTTGTTGTTTTAAGCTTCCATAATATATATTTTAATGTATGTGTTGTTACGCTCTTATTGAAAAATTTAGATAAATTTAAAGGAGGTGGACTTTCAACCCTACCTGTCAGCCGAGGGTCAACCCGAGTTGAGAGGGAAATTACCATCCATTCAGGCAGATAGTCCGAGGTACTCGACAAGAGTTTCTTCCAACTCGGGATGAGAAAGATACATCTTAGCAGAAAGACCGATACGAAATACTGGATAAACTCTCCCCACACGGGAATCGAACTCAGTTTTTCTGCCTTCGACGGCGAAGCGTCTTACCACACACACCACATAACAGACGCCAGTTACTAGTTACTAGTTGTTGTTGTTGTTGTTGTTGTTGTTGTT